GGGGTAATTGGGATGGGTGTGTCAGAGGCAGTGAGATTGGCACAGGATAGAGCAGGGTTTAGGGCTGTTGTACATAGGGTGACTATGAGTCGCAATCAACTCGACGGCACATAACAACAACAACGCTGTTGTTAGTTTCCATTGAGTCAGTTCTTGAGTCATGGCAACTTCATTAGAAAGTTATGATCCACTAGTTTTTCTCATTGGCTGATTTTCAATAGTTTTTGTGATAGTTTTTAGATGTTGTCATGTATGACTTATAGCAACCCTATGAACAACAAGCCAGAAATCTGTCCTATCCTGTGTCATCCTCATCACCTCTGACACACCCAGGCCCATTGCTATAGTCACTGCATCAATCCATCTGGGTAAAGGTCTTCTTCTCTTCTGTTGACCATCCACCTTTCTAAGCATGATGTACCTACCTCTCCACGGAATAGCATCTACTAGCAACATGCTCAAAGTATGTGGGCTTCACCATCTTTGCCTCCAAAGAGCACTCTGACTGTACTTTTTCTAAGACCTAATTTTTGTTCTTTTGGCAGTCCATAGGATATTTAGTGCTCTTCTCCAAAGGCCAAAGGCATCAATTTTTCTGTTATCCTTAATCATTGTCCAGCTCTTAGGTGCATAGCAAATGATTGAAAAGACTATAGCCTGAATCAGGTGCACCTTAATCTTCATATTGACATCATCACCCCTCAGTATTTTGGAAGGGACCCTCACAGCTGACTTCTTCAGAGCAAATACATCTCTTGAAATTAGTATACAATCCATATTTAAGGCTGAAGTCTTTGATCTTTTGCAGCAAGTGTTTCAAATCTTCACTTTCAGAAAGCAGGGTATATCAGCTGCACAATGCAGGTTGCTGATAAGTCTTCCTCCAATGCTGATGCCACATTCTTATTCACATAGCTCAACTTCTCAACAATTTCTCAGTATACAGATTGAATGGGTATGAGAAAGGACATGGCCCTGACCTTTCTTGATTTTAAAACATGCAGTGTTTCCTCGATCCATTCAGACAAAAGGTTTTTGGTCTAGGTATAGATTTCATATAAACCGAATTAAGTGTTCTAAGATTTCCTTTCTTCTTGATGTTAGTGATAGTTTTTTATAATCCACACAGTCAAAAGTCTTTGCATAGTTATTAAAGCATAAATAGACAATCTTCTGGTATTCTTTGGTTTCTGGCAGGATCCATCTGCCATCAGCACTCATGGCCTCTTCCAAATCCAGCTTGAACTTTTGGCAGTTCTTTATTAATGTACTGTTCTAGTCATTTATGGATGATCTTCAGCAGTATTTTGCTTGCATGTGATCTTAGTAGCATTTTTTTTTATAATTTCCACATTCTGCTGGGTGACCTTTCTTGGGAACGGAAACAAATATGGATCTTTTCTAGTCAGTTGGCCAAGTCGCTCTCCTCCAAATTTTCTGGTAGAGACTGGTGAGCACATCCAGGGTTGCTTCTGTTAGTTGGAACAGGTCAACTGGTATCCCATCTATTCCTGGGGCCATATTTTTGCCAATGTCTTCAACATAGACTGAACTTATTCCTTTTTTTAACATTCAATAGTAGTTGTTGTTGTTGTTAAGTGCAGTTGAGTTGTATATGGCTTATAGCCACTCTATGAACGAAGGACCTGAACAATTGTACAACTTTCATCGTTCTCCAAGTTCATAGAGTTTCCAGAGGCAAGCTATCTTGGAAGTGGATGCTACTCCTGCTTCCAAGCTTGTTTTAATCGGGAGCTCCTCCAAACACTGTCCACCATGAGTAACCATTATCACATTTGATGCATCGGTGTTACAGTGTTTAGTATCACAGCAACCATGAGTTAACTCTGTATAGTAGACTGCAAATTTTATCCTTGTTTTAGTTGTGAGGTGCTGTCCAGTCTATAGTCCCTCACAGTGGCCAAGAAGCACAATTACAGGAACAGTACCTTTACTTACCTATACATTCAGGTAGGCAAATTGTGTTCAATAATACTGTAAAGTTTAGATTTTATTCTTACTTATCCTTGTAGCTTATAATTTTCAAATGTCAGAAAATAATTGGACTGAAAAAGTAAAAATCTGCTTTGTCATTGAATAGGATGGAATGACACATATTTAATGCTAGCTGCAGATATAAAATGTGATAATGACAATCATCTTTGAGTAACTATTGATTTCTTACTGATTCAGTTGTACTGATCTCTAAATTCACATGCTAATATTATACCAATAAGAAAATAATATTCCAGTCTTACCTGAAGGAGCCAAGTTCCTTATAAACAGAGAAATAGCTTCAATTTACCACCAAGGAACAGGGTTTCAAATAAGTTTCTAAAGACAAAATTTAACATTTACCATAATTTTATTGTTTCCAAGGAAACAAAACCCTGGATCCACTTAGTAATCCAAACTCGTAATTTAGGGATGATATTGATTCCTTTATACTCAATCTCACTTTGTTTTTAGCCTATCTACACACTGTTTCATTTAGACTTCACCTAAATTCTACACTTTCTAAAGTCTTTTAGCTATCATTTCCTTTAGTAAGATTCCCTAGTTCCTCTGCTTTGCAGTCTCCCTCATAGCCATGAGCTACAAACTCAACTTTATCAGATTGTAGTTTGTTCTTGTTATTCTTCAGTTGATTGTGCTAAGACAGATGACACAATAAAATGATTTCCAAAGGCTATTATGATCTGCAATAATAATAAAGGAACTCCCTAAAAAATCATTGTAGAAAGAATACTAAAACATAAGAAAATAGACAAATTATCATGTAACACAGAGATTATAAAGAGGATACTAAACAGAAGAACAATGTGTGTTTCAGCTACAAACTGGGCCTGGCTGCTTCCATGGACATAATTCTAGGGAAGAAAAAAGACAAAACAGAATCTTTAAATTATATTAAATTTTGGCATCCTAACACTAAAATGGGTTATTTAAGAACTGTTAATTCACCCATTGTAGGCAAGTATATAATATACTTCAGGTCTGTGGCATTCATCAGTAAATAAGTTTAGTTATTATAAAAGCTATACCTGTATTATTTAATCTTTATATATATTTTCACTGCATTGATACTATTTTTACCAATAGCTGAAATATCAGTATTTACGTGTACAAGAGCATTAGGTGCAATAACGTAGTCTCCATGAACTCAAGGATCATGTTTTTCCTGTTTACCACCAGTTCTCTAATAATACCTAGTGCAGTAGCTGAACAATTATTTATCCTATTTAGATGAATGCTGGCTTTCATTTTATAGCCAGATCAGTAAAATAAAACTCACAATATGGTATAAGAAACTTTCCATTTTTAGGAACATAGTATGGTGTTTTCAGCAAATGAAGTTTTTAACAATTGAAAGATTAAAAAATTCAGACCGTTCATATGCTAGCACTGTTCTCATAAGATAATAATCTAAAAGGTTAACTGTACTGTATAATAGAAAGAAATGCTGATCTTTCCTTACCACATGTCCTGTGTGTGGATTCTTATGAGCATATGGTGGTCCTCTTATATGATTCCACATTTGACCAGATGTCATAGCAAGCACAAAACACTAGGAAATTAAAAATAATTAAATACTCATATAACATGATTCAGATGTTCACACCTTTATTAGTAGATAATATAATTGTTGTTGTTATGTGCTGCTGAGTCACCTGCGACTCATAGCGACCCTATGTACAACAGCCCCAAACCCTGCTCTATCCTGTGCCAATCTTATTGTCTCTGACACACCTATCCAATTACCCTAGTCACTCGATCAATCCAACTCACTGAGAGTCTTCCTCTCCTGTGCTGTTGCTCCACCCTCCCAAGCATGACATCCCTCTCCAAGGACTGGTCCCTCCTTGCAACATGTCCAAAGTACATCAGACAAAGCTTTAGAATCCTTGCCTCAAAGGAGCCATCTGGTTTAACCCTCTCTTGGACAAACCTGTTCATTCTCTTAGCAGTCGATGATATAGTCAACACTATTCTCCAACATCAGAGCTCAAAGGCATCAATTCTCCTATTATCCTGAAGATTATCCAAAAATGACTCAAACAGCACATAAACAGAGAACTGCCAGAAGTGAAGGCTGGGTTTAGAAGGGGTTGTAATACTAGGGATATTGTAACTAATGTTAGATCGATCTTGACTAAAAGCAGGAAGCACCAGAGCAATGTCTAGCTGTGTTTCATTGACTATGCAAAGGTGTTTGACTGTGTGGATCACGACAAACTGTGGCTAACTCTAAGAAGAATGGGAATCCCAGAACTCTTGATCGTTCTTATGCAAAACCTATACTTAGACCAGGAGGAAGTCGTCAGAACTGAAGAAGGAAAAACTATATGTTACAAATTTTGGAAGGGTGTATACCTATCTCTGTACCTTTTTAATCTATATGTAGAACAGATTATCTGGGAGGCTGGGCTCTATGAGGAGAAAGGTGGCATCAGGATTGGAGGAAATCTCATCAACAATCTGCATTATGCAGATAACACAACCCTGTTTCTTGAAACTGAGGAGGACCTGAAGCGCTTGCTGCAGAAGGTCAAGAACTGCAGCCTTCAGTATGGATTGAAGCACAACATCAAGAAAACAAAGATTCTCACCACTGGGCTGATTGGCAGAATCGTGATGGATGGTGAAAAGACAGAGATTGCAAATAGCTTTCATTTGCTTAGCTCTACAATCAACACCCTTGTCAACAGCAGCGAGGAAATTAAAAGATATATTGAATTGGGAAAGTCTGCTCTCCAACATACTGAAGAGCCATGATGTCAGTCTGAAGACTAAGGTGCACCTGATACAGGCTATGGTCTTTCAATCACTTGGAATGCATCAGAGAGCTGGACAATGACTAGGGATGATAGAAGGAGGATTGATGCCTTTGGGTTCTGGTGTTGGAGATATTGCAATTACTGGGGAAAAATATGTTCAGATAAGTGATGTCTTGTTTTTCTTTATTTTTTCCTAGCAATACTTTTAAGGTCTATGCTTAGGCACAAAGATCACAAGAATCACAATTCAGCAATATTTATTTCAAAAAGAATTATTTTAATATTAAAAATAAGTTGACAAAACATGAAAATTTAATACTGCAATGGGCTTTTAGAACAGTATTTTGAAAAGAACTGCAGGTTTTGATGGAATTGGTAATCTATTATTTAGAATTAATGTAAAATCAAGTCTTCTAAGCCCTGGCCAGAGGAAAGAAACTGATTTCAAGGCAGGAAACAAAAATACATAAGCATGAAATAAACAAAATGGTACTTCTTGAATAAAGAAAATCGTATGTGAAAATACAATAGTTAAGCTTAATTTTCCTTCTAAAATTCACTCACCAAAGCCGCAAAAGCCCATCCAGTTTTATTAGAGAGAAATTCCATATTGCTTCTTCGAAGATACACAAGTCCACCAATTACAGCCAAAAGCAATCCCAGCATAAGGGAACCAGCATAATTTGGAGGTCTAATTACTCTAATCTAAGTAGAAAGAACAGACAAACATTTTAAAGTGTAAGAATTACTCCTTAATTACATGGTTCAATATAATTTGAAATTAAAGCAGTCAAAATTGGTATTTTTGGGATGTTGTTGTTGTGTACTATAGACCCGGAACCAACCTGTAGCTGAACCTTCTGGTGGGTTTTCAGAGGCATGGGAAGAGACTGCCCATTCTCCCACGGAGCAGCTGGTGACCTTGAACCACATGCCTTTGAGGTTGCAGCGCAACTTCTTGCCATTGGCTACCAGAGTTCATATTAATATATTTACTTTAATGTTTTGAGGAAAAAAATTTTTTTCTTGCTGTCCCAATGAAAACAGTCTATATTTTATCTTAAAGTACAATACAAAATCATTATTGTTGAGTGAAATCAACTAGGATTCATAGAGGTCCTTAAAATAAAATTTTCTGCACAGTCAGGAGAGGATAACATTGATGAATGGGACCTTCTACAGATTAAATTCCTTTGTGCATCAAAAATCTTTTCTGATAGAGGGGAAAGAAAACCAACTGACTTAGAAAAAAACATTTATCATTGGCAGTAAGAGAGATGCAAATAAAAACTATAAGGAGATACCATTTTACCCCAGTAGTAGTGGTAAAATTTAACAGGACAGCAAGCAAGAAATGTTGGAGATGGTGTGGAAAAACTGGAACTCTCATACACTGATGATTTAATTGTAAAATGGTACAACCATTCTGCAAGCAGTTTGATGCATCCTCAAAAAGCTGAACATAGAGATTTCATATGATCCAGCTATACCGCTGCTAGGAATATACACCAAGGAAAACAGAACTGAGCTACAAATAGAGATTTGTACACCTAAGTTCATAGGAGCATTATTCATAATAGCAAGAATGTAGAAGCACCCAAAATGTCAATCAACAAATGACTGGATTGAGAAACTATGATACATTCACACAATGGAATACTATGCAGCACTTAAGAGCAACGATTTTGAAAAATACTATTTAACGTGGGAGAGGGTGAAGAGCATTATGGTGAGTGCTAACCTAGTTGCATAAGAACAAATACTGTATAAGAAAATTATTATAAAAGCAGAAGGTTAACCAAGAGACGTATTTCTATGGATATACAAATAAGGAAGGGGAAGAGGTGGGGGTTAGGAAATCACAGGGTAGAAGAGTTTGATGGGTGGAGGGAGGGTGTGAGAAAAATGCACATGAGTGAAACACAATAAAAAATAAATTTAAAAAATAAATAAAAGTTTTAAAATAATAAAAAGAAATCCTTAAAATAAAGTGTAATGGGTATAAAATAATGTTCAACCACAGCATATAAAGCAGACTATCTTTGAGATATGAAGGATGTACCAAATACATTGAGATAGCCTATGTTTTTGACAAAGTCAAAAGAGTGATTTCTATGCTTAATGTAAGAAACGTTTCATTCTTCATTAGGCTGATTCTGTAAAGTTACTTAGGAAGAGACAGACAAACTTACCACCTCAGTGACATAGGTACTAGTTCAATTTGGACCTCCAAGTAAAATTAAAAAGGTTAAGAGTAAAGTACCTTTCTACAAAATAAGAAAACTTACATTGACATCAGTTCTGTCAGCTATCCATCGGGCAATCTGCTCAGCTGAATAACCCCGCACTTGCAACTCATATGTATCACCCCGTTTGGGTTTCCCTTTTGCAGGAAAGTTGATGAAAGTTGGAGCTGAATTCATGTTTAGCTGAATAAAACATAGAAATATCAACTATCAATAAAATAATATTAACTCTTTTAAAAAATTTATTTTATTAATTTTAATGAACATTTACAGAAATTTTGGATTTCCATTCATTCACTGTTGCACTTTTCTCCCTGCCAAGCCCTCCCCCTAGGTCACTCCTCTCTTTGAAAAGTAAAAGAAAAATTGTTTCGTTAGTATACAATCCCCCCGCACCCCACCACCACCACCCCGAGTACACTCCACTATGCAACCTTAATTTCTGGACTCTTGTGATAACCATAATACCCTATCATATATCGCTTTTAAACTGTTCTCTCCCTCATCTGTTTCAATGCAGTATACATAATTCATGCAGTTTTTCTGTCTTACCGCAACCCTGATGTCAGCCCCATTCTACAACACTGGCACTATGCATTATTTGTCCTTTTGTGACTGAGACACTTCACTCAGCATAATGTCCTTCAGGGTCACCCATTTTGAATATTTCATGAGTTCCTTGTTTTTCAATGTAGCATAGTATTCCATTGTGTGAATATACCACAACTTCTCTATCCATTCGTTTGCTGATGGGCACTTGGGTTGTTTCCAAATCCTTGCTATTGTGAACAAAGCCGCAATAAACATAGGTGTGCATATATATGCTTGGATGTCAGTTATGGTCTCTTTAGGGTATATTCCCAGTAGTGGAATTGCTGGGTCAAATGGTATCTCTATATCCAACTTTTTGAGAAAGTGCCATACTGCCTTCCATAGTGGTTGCACCATTTTACACTTCCACCAACAGTGAATAAGGGTTCCAGTTTCTCCACAACCTCGTCAACATTTGTTGCTTGCTGTTTTGTTAAATTTTGCTAGTCTTACTGGAGTGAGATGATATTTCATAGTTGTCTTGATTTGCATCTCTCCTAGAGCTAGGGATTTTGAACATTTCTTCAAATGCTTGTTGGCCATCTGAATGTCTTCTTTGATGAAGTGTCTGTTCATGTCCTGTGCCCATTTTTCAAATGGATTCTTTACCTTTATCTTGTTGTGGTGAAAATAATATTAACTCTTAATAATATCTTGAAACTTAAGTATCTCACAGATGAGGAAGTATAGACTTGGCAAAGTTAAGTGCTTTACCTAGAGAATTAGTAAATGTTAGAGCCAAGGTTCAAATCCAAAGTTGCCTATAATTTTAACCACTATCTTTACTGACAAAATATTAATTCCTAGCTAAATCCTTGCATTTTTTAAAATTAGAATAAAAAATGGTCCCATATTATAAATAGTGTAATCTGTTCAAAAATTATGCTAAAAAGTACATTTATGAGTATTAAATTGATTCTCATTTATGAGTATTAAATTGATTCTTTTGGCATGTAGCCAAGACAAGTTCCAAATGGGCTACATCCTCCTTCTGGAGAGAATAAATTAGGACAGGTCAGTGCGCTAAAGTTATAGCATAAGCAAATATGAAATATTAGCCATATATAGCAATTACCAATTTTTAAGGATTTACAAGCGATTACTAATGAGCATTCCAGTTCTCTATTTTCCATCATAGGATCCATGGTATGCTTAAGAAGAAAACATGGGAATTGCTGAGATAAAGAGACCATCACTCATTCATCCATGTCATTCCTGACATGGACAACTGTACTTGTAGAAAATTGGCAGAACGATCCCGACCAACAGATGCAAGCATCCAATCCCCTTAAATTACACAGTGGAGACTAGCTTACATAAGCAATTTTAACTTGAAAATATAAGCTAATAAAATAATCCAATTCTTTTGCTTTGATTAAAGCCCTTCTGAACAGTAATTTTTCTATTAGGGGAGAGAGTATACTGATTGTTGTTGTTAGGTGCCATGGGATCAAATACTTGTAGCAATCCTATGAACAACAGATCTGAACTCTGTCCTATCCTGCACCATCCTCATAATTTCGGACATACTTGAGTTCATTGCTGCAGCTAATGTGTCAGTCCATCTTGTTGAAGGTCTTCCTCTCCTTCGCTGACCCTCCACCTTTCCAAGCATGATCTCTTTTTCCAAGAAATAGCTTCACCTAACAACATGCCCAAAGTATGTGAGAAACAGCTTTGTCATCCTTACCTGTAAAGGAGCACTACGGTTGCACTTATATGTTTCAAATATGCATGAGATATATTTGGATTAATAAATATGACTATTCAGGTTTTTAGGATTATTTGGATATCAATCAATGAATATGATTATTCTGACCTCTTTGGTGAACTAATTACTAATTACTTAATAGATAATAGATAATGGCTGGTGGACTTGAACTACTTGCCTTTGGGTTGGCAATACAACTCCTTGCCCACTAGGCCACCAGATTTCCCTATTCTAGGTTCAAGATCTGGAAATAAAATTGTTAGGCCATAGGACAGGAACATTTTAAATTAAAATGGATATGGTTAAATTGTCCTTTAAGTGGGTTTGCTAATTTATACTGCTAGTCTATATAGGAATCTATATATTTGTGTTTCCACATCCTTGCAAACAGTAGTTGTGATAAGTGAAAAGGTATGTATCATTCTTACTGTAATTTGTATTTCCATAATTACTAGTAAAATACCTTTATGGAAAACAAGTCTTTTAAAAATATCTTGTAAGCTTTTAAAATCCTTAATGAGCCAAAATAAGATCTGTCATTTTTTGGTAGCTATCACTTTGAATTCATAACTAGTTTTTCTATATTGTAACATACAACACTACTTTTTTAATAAAATTATTTCTTCATCAATTCTATTCTTAAGTGAAATTGGCATTACATTTTTCTTAACTGTAATTAGTATAGTTTGGCTTCTATCTTCATTTAAGCAAAAAATAAAGCCAATTTAGTAAACTTTTTTTACATCACAAGGACAAATGACAACATAATAGAAATCGTACATGTCAACATAATAAAAAGTATAACAATGGCACAGTATTGAAGTCTTTGAAATTCATGCTGAGCATTGCTTTCATTATTTCCCAAAGATTTTAGGCTATACTTCCATTTGACTATTTTTTAATTTTGTCTGTGACTCACTGATTTTTATAATATTTTCATTATTTTGTCCTAAAAACAGTTTATTTTGGAGAATGATCAGTGTGCAGTGGTATAGAACATACATTGAGACACTGTTACGGTCTATATGTGTTAGGTCTGACTTTTTAACTATAATTCAAAATTTATTAACTTACTTTCTAGTTGTTCCATCAATTATCAAAAATGGTTGCATTAAAGTCTACTACGCATTAATTCTTCTATTCTTCTGAGATCACTTTAGAAATTTTAGGGCTCTGATGTAAGGGATGTAGATTTTTATAACTGTTGTGTCTTCTGGGTAGATTGATTCTCTGTCATACACTGTTGTTCCTTTGAGATTAAATTTTACTTCAATCTATTGGTAAAATACTATATTGCTAAAGTATTAATTCTATTGTTCAGATTCCTGGGATTTTTTTAGTATTAACCTTCATCCCCACATCTTTTGTAAAACACTGTTAGAGAAATAATTCTACAGCTACTTTCCTTCTACCTTTAACTCTAAAATAAAGTAAAAGAAATTGATATTAAAAAATAATTGAAGGAGAAAAAATGATTCTGTATTTTGCTAAATCATTTAACAAAAATTTCTTATAGGTACCATGTCTCAATAAATAAGACTTATGAGTAAGATGAGTAATAAGACATATGGTTAAGACTAGGGAGATGGCAGTCCAGATACTAAACAACTGAGACAACAAAAACAAAGATAATACATAAAGATGACAATTATAGAAACTTTGGTTGAAAGAAATGGATAAAGACGTTAAAATATCCACTGAAGGAAGAAATTTAATTTAAATACTGAATAAAGAGATGAAAGAATGAATTGAGAATGAATGTGCTAAGTGCAGCTGATGTTTTAAAATTTTTTTTATTTGTTCATTCATGTACACTTTCCTCCCTTCCTGCCTCTCCTGCTAGAGCTCACTTTATAAATTTTAGGGCTCTGATGTTAGGTATGTGGATTTTTTAAATTGTTGTGTCTTCTAGGTAGATTGAGTCTTTGTCATACACTGTTGTTCCTTAGAGATTAGTTTTTACTTCAAGTCTATTTCCCTTGTAAGACTATTAATTGTCATACACATGGTTTCTCATCATTCATTCCTTTCAGAATGTCCTTCCTCTTACTCATTCCAGTGCAGTCTACCTTATCTACCCATTCTTTTTCTGCTCTTCCCACCTGTCTGTCTCAATTATATTATTACAAGAATGGGCTTATGCAGTAGCTTTCTCTTTGTGCTTGAGATATTTTACTCAGCATAATGTCTTCCAGATACAAGGTTGTTATTTTTCAATGCTGCATAGTATGCCATTGTGTGACTTTACCATAGTTACTCTAGCCATTCAATTGATGATAGGCACCTGGGCTATTTCCACTTCTTTGCTATTGTGAATAATGCTGAAATAAACGTGGGTGTGCATATATCTGTGTCACATCTCTGATTTCTTTAAGGTGTATTCTCAGTAGTGGGATAGCTGGGCCAAATGGTATTTCTATTTCCAATTTTCTGATCAAGCACCAGACTGTCCTCCATAGTGGTTATACCATTTTACATTCCCAACAGCAGTGTATAAGAGTACAGATCTTGCTGCATCCTCGTCAGTATCTGTTGTTTGCTAAAGTGCAGCTTTTAACTTCTGAAAGCAGAATTTTGATCAATTCAGGAACCCAGAACTACAAGGGCATCCATACTAGCAACTGGCTGACAACAAGAAAAGTGCAATCTCTTGATAGTTCCCATAACATTGCAGGTATCAAAGGATTGACTACTTTCTTCCTCCCTACCACTCTGCTCTGGCTACCCACCATGTAGCTAGCAGTATTCTCTTGGCCTTGTCTGAACTCTGCTTAAGACCTGTGCCATTTTGTATCATGCACCAGGAACCCACTTACAGCTCCACATTCAGAAATGCACCTTCTACTTCCAGGTGCTAGTGGTGTGTGCCTGAGGCAGATTG